TACCCTTCCTGTTGTATGTTCCGTGGGTTTGGACAAATGTATAAAATGACATGTGCTCATCATTACAGTATTATACAGAGTAGTTTCACTGCCCTAAAAATCCCGTTCTCTGCCCGCCCATCCTTCCCTCACCCAGCCCCTAACAACCACTGAACTTTTTACTGTTTCCGCAGTTTTGCCTTTTCCAGAATGTTATAGAGTTGGAATAATACATTTCGTAGCTTTTTAAGACTGGCTTTTTTCACTTAGTATGCATTAACATTTCTTCCATATCGTTTTATGGCTTCATAGCTCATTTCTTTTTATCACTGAATAATATTCCATAGTCTAAATGTTCCACATTTAGTCATTCACCTGTTGAAAGACATCTTGGTTGCTTCCAAGTTTGGGCAATTATGAATAAAGCTTCTGTAATTATCTGTGTGCAGGTTTTTGTGTGGAAGTATGTTTTCAGGCCCTTTGGGTAAATACCAAGAAGTGTGATTGCTAGACTGTAGAGTAAGAGCATGTTTAGTTTTGTAAGAAACCACCCAACTGTCTTCCAGTGTGGCTGCACCGTGTTGTGTTCCCATCAGCAGTGACTGAGAGTTCCTGTCATTCTACATTCTGGCCAGATGTGGTTGTCAGTGTTCCAGATGGTAGCCCTTCTAATAGGTGTGAAGTGGTATCTCAGGTTGTTTTTATTTGCATTTCCCTGATGAGTGTGATGTGGAGCATCTCTTCATATGCTTATTTGCCATATTTACATCTTCTTTGGTAAGGCATCTGTTGAGATCTTTGGCCCATTTTTTAATCGAGTTGTTGGTTTTCTTCTTGTTGAGTTTTGAGTGTTCTTGTATATTTTAGATATATCTCCTTTTATCAGATACATGTTTTGAAAATACTTTCTTTCAGCCTGTGGCTTGTTTTCTCATTCTCTTAGTATGCCTTTTGCATACCAGAAGTTTCTAATCTTAAAGAAATTAAATGAAGTCCAGCTTATCCATGATATTTTTTCATGAATTGTGCTTTTGATGGGTGTTGTATCTAAAAAGTCATTACCATACCCAAGGTCATCAGCAGTGTTTCCTGTGTTTTCTTCTAGGAGTTTTGTGAAGTTTAGGTTTGTGATCCACTTTGAGTTAATTTCTGTAAGAGGCCTGTGTCTAGATTTAATTTTTTGCACATTGGTGTTCAGCGGTTCCAGCACCATTTGTTGAAAAGATCATCTCTACTCCATTGTATTGCCTTTACCCTTTTCCATCTTTTCCATCGATCACTTCATTGTTTCAAGAACACCACACTGTCTTGATTGCTGTAGATTTAAAGTAATTCCCCAAACTTCTTCCTTCTCCTTCAGCACTGTGTTGCCTATTCCGGGTCTTTGTCTCTCTATATACTTTAGAAGCTGTTTGTCAATGGCCACAAAATAACTAGCTGGATTTGGATTGGGGTTGCCTTGACTCTCTAGATCAAGTTGGGAAGACAGCTGGACAATACTGAGTCTTCCTATCCATGAACATGGACTATCTCTACATTTATTTAACTCTTCTTTGATTTCTTTCCTCAGAGTTTTGTCGTTTTCCTCATATAGATCGTGTACATATTTTGTTTCATTTATATTTAAGTACTTAATTTTGGTGTTTTGTATTTTTAAAAAATATATTTTTATTGATTTTTTAGAGAGGAAGGGGGAGAGAGAGAGAGAGACACTGATGCGAGAGTGAAACATCGATCAGTCAGCCACCCCCTGCCTGCCCCCCACCAGGGATCAAGCCCACAACCTTTTGGTGCATGGGATGACGCCCGATCAACTGAGCCACACTGGCCAGAGTGTTTGTAATTTCCAATTCCACATGTTCGTTGCTGGTATATAGGAAAGTGATTAACTTTTGTATATTAATCTTGTATCCTACAACCTTGCTGTAATCACTTATTAGCTCCAGGAGGTGGGGTTTTGGGAGGTTTTTTTTATTGTTGTTGTTGTTTTGGTTAATTCTTTTGAATTTTCTACATAGATGATTATATCATCTGCAAACAGACGGTTTTATTTCTTTCTTCCCTATCTGTGTACTTTTATTTCCTTTTTTTAGTCTTATTTCATTAGCTAGGACTTCCAGTATGATGTTGAAAAGAAGTGGAGAGAGGGACATTCCTGCCTTGTACCTGACCTTAGTGGGAGGGGTTCAGGTTTCTCACCATTAAGTGTGATGTTAGCTGTAAGGTATTTGTAGATAGTCTTTATCAAGTGGAAGAAATTATGCTCTATTCCTAGTTCACTGACAGTTTTTATCATGAATGGGTATTGGGTTTTTGTCAAGTGCTTTTTCTGCAATTTTGATATGATTGTATGATTC